GGGTTTGGGGTCATGGATCCTCTGTGGGTTTGGGGGATTTGGGGTCATGGTTCCTCTGGGGTTTAGGGGATTTGGGGGGTTTTGGGGGATTTGGGGTCCCGGCTCCTCCGGGGGTGCAGGGGCGCGGCGCGGCCGCCAGGGGGCGCCAGGCACGAGCGGGGTCTCTGGGGATCCGCGGGGCAAAAATGGGGGCACAGGGGGGGTTTTGGGGTGCCAGGGGTGCACAGGGGTGTGCAGAGGGACATGTAAGGGGTGTGTAGGGATGAGCACAGGGCACACACAGAGGGGAGTATATGGGACACGTACCGGGCTGTCTATAGGGCACATACAGGGCTGTCTGTAGGGTGTCTATGGGGCACATACAGGGCTGTCTACAGGGTCTACATCGGGCACATACAGGGTGTCTATGGGGTGTCTATGGGGTGTCTATGGGGCTGTCTATGGGGTGTCTTTGGGATGTACGGGGGCGTGCACCGCTCCCCTCCCGGCGCTCGATTGCTCACGCCTGCGCCCCGCCCCTCCCCGCGGCGGGCGCCTCTCCCCGCGGCGTTGCGGTGACGTCACTCCCGGCTCGCGGTGACGTCACTGCCGCCGCTGCCTGGCGCGGGGCGCGCGCGGGACCGAGGGGGGAGCGGGCGCGGCTCCGTGAGGGCTCCGTGAGGGGAGCGGGCACGGCTCCGTGAGGGCTCCGTGACGGCTCCGGGTGAGTGCGGCCGGCCCGGGGGCACGCGGGGCCTCCCCGCTGCGGGAGGGGCCGCGGGCCGGTTCCCGCCCGCTCCCCGCCGCTCCAGCCCCGCGGGCCGGGCCTTTCCGCGGGCGTTGGGCCTCCCTCGGCCGGGGTCGGGCAGGGCCCCCCGGGGCTGCCCGGGCGGGGCCGGGCGGAGGCGGAGCGGTGGCACCCCCCGGGCTCGGATCCCTCCCGGGCCCGTTTTTCTGCCCACGGCTCGCCCGCGCCGGGGTTTTGTGGGTCTCCCTCAGGATCGCCCCTAAATCGCCTCTGGGCGAGGGTCCGGCCTGCCGCTGCCCCCGGTGCCCCCGGTGCCGCGGGGCAGAAGGCGCCGCCGGCCCTGACCGGGGCCTCACCCCGGCCTCCCACGCTCCCCTCCCGTTACCTGCCCGCGGCAGCCGGGAATTGCGGCGCCTCCCTCCCGCCTGCCCTTGCGAAACCGGCCGCGGTGGTTCCTCTTCCTCCGCGAGCCCAGCGGAGCCGCCCCGGCCCTCGCCGCAGCCCCGGGATCCCCTTCCCGGGGCTGCCGGCCCAGCCCGGCCCGTGCCCGCCCCGCGGGGAGCCGGGGTGCGCTGCCCCGGCCGGGGCTTTTTTAAGGCACAAAGCTGCTCATTGTGCCCCAGCAAATCCCTAATCCCGCGCGGGTGCTGTGCCTGGCCTCGGCGGGCTGGCGGGGGGCTCCGTTTCCCACCGGGAATCGCGTTTGGATCAGCCTCGGGGTGCGCACACGGCTCTGGAGAGGGAAACCCAGCTCGGGGGGTTTCTCCCTGCTCCCGATGCTCTTCCCTGGGGCCGAGCTGCCGGTTGGAAGCAGGACCGGGGCCCCTGTTAATGATCACCCTCTGACCTCCGGGCTGCCGGGAGCAAAGTCCCTCGGAGCCCGAGGCGAGCCGCCCCGAGGGGAATTCACCGGCTGCTCCCGGGAGCCGAGGTGGAAATTGGGGTGCCTGGTGGGGTCGGCCGTCCCCTCGGAGCTGCCCCCTCACCTCTCCCCCTTTCCCTCCCCCCAGCATGTTTCAGACCTTGTACAGCTGTTTTTGGTGGGAACGGCTCTGGCTCCCGGCAAACCTCACCTGGGCTGACCTGGAGGACCGGGATGGGCGAGTCTATGCCAAAGCCTCTGACCTGTACATCACCCTCCCCTTGGCCTTCCTCTTCCTCGTTGTCCGGCACCTCTTTGAGACGTGAGTCCCTTCCCTGGGGGTGGGGAGGGGTCCTGAGCCCCCGGTCCAGCTCTCCCCGTGCCCTGGCTGAACCCTGGGGTGGGCACTTTGTGCTCAGCCTAGCTGGGGGTCCTGATCCCCCCTGACAAGCCCACGTGCTCCCCTTTCCCCACACAAACACGGCGTTTAGGCAGCGATTTGTTGGGCAAACAAAGGGAACAGACCCGGCTTTGTTGGGACAGCAAGAGGAGGGGGGGAGGCCGAGCGGGGACAGCCCGTGACAGAGAGACCCGGGGGGAAAAAGCCACCAGCACCGAGTGGCTGGGGGTCCCTGCGTGGCTTTGATGGAACCAAATCATCCAGGTGACGTTTGTGTCCCCAACTCCTTCCCCAGGTACGTGGCCACCCCCCTGGCCGGGCTCCTGAACGTCAAGGAGAAGGTCCGGTTAAAAGCCACCCCCAACGCCGTGCTGGAGAAGTTCTACGCTGCCACCAGCAAACACCCCAAGCAGGTGAGGCCCGGGGGGGTCCCCAGAGGTGCCCGTGGGGGGTGAGGGTGGCTGTGTGACACCGTGGGGCTGCCCTGCTGTCCCCAGGCCGACGTGGAGGTGCTGGCCAAGAGGAGCGGCTGCACCGTGCGCCAGGTCGAGCGCTGGTTCCGCCGCCGCCGCAACCAGGACCGGCCCAGCCTGCTCAAGAAATTCCGGGAGGCCAGGTGAGACCCTCCCTCCCTGCCTGCCTGCTGTCACTGTCCCCCCACCCTGGGGGGCTCTGGGAGTCCCAGCTTGGCCGGGGGCTGCCTCGGGGGGTGGGAGATGCCGGATCTGTCCTCCTCCCTGCTGCTCCCCGGTGCCCGTCTGAGGACCGTCTGCTTCCTTTTTCCAGTTGGAGATTCACCTTTTACCTTATTGCTTTCATTGCTGGCATGGCTGTCATAGTGGATGTGAGTATTGCCCCCCTCCCCTTGCGCCCCCAGCCCCCCTGGCCCCTCTGACTTTGTGTCTCCCCCTCCCCACCCTGCAGAAACCCTGGTTCTACGACCTGCGGGAGGTGTGGAAGGGATACCCCATCCAGGTGAGCACGGATCCCACCCCAGCTTCTCCTGCCCACCAGGATCTGCAGGGGGGGCTCTTGGCACCCCTCAGGGCACCCGGACGGTGCCCACAGGGGGGGACCAAACCCCTCTGGGGGACACAGAAGCCCCCCCACAACCTGTCCCTTGCCCCCAGAGCATTCTGCCCTCCCAGTACTGGTACTACATGATCGAGCTCTCCTTCTACTGGTCCCTGCTCTTCAGCATCGCCTCCGACGTCAAGCGCAAGGTGGGGGCTCAGGGAGGGGGTGGGAGACACTGGGACATCTCAGCAGGGTTTTCCTCAGCCTCGTGGTGGGCAGGAGGGAGCAGCTGGGACACACAGGGGCCGTGGGATGGGGGTTTGCTGTGGGTGGGGTCCAGGCTGCTGTAGCCCCCCCACTCTGCTGAGCTCCCCATTGCTGTGGGCACAGGACTTCAAAGAGCAGATCATCCACCACGTGGCCACCATCATCCTCATCAGCTTCTCCTGGTTTGCCAACTACGTCCGCGCCGGGACGCTCATCATGGCCCTGCACGACTCCTCGGATTATCTGCTGGAGGTTGGTGTGTCCCCCTCCCCTGCTGCCCCCCAGGCCGTGCCCCCTCCCCAGCTCACCCCTCTGCCCCCTCCCCAGTCTGCCAAGATGTTCAACTACGCCGGCTGGAGGAACACCTGCAACAACATCTTCATCGTCTTCGCCGCCGTCTTCATCATCACCCGCCTGGTCATCCTGCCCTTCTGGTGAGCTCTGCTGGGCAACGGGGAAACTGAGGCAGGGGCTGCGGGAGTCTCGGGGGGTGGGATGCTGGTTCTGCCCCTGATAGGGTGGCTTTTCCTGGCAGGATCATGCACTGCACCATGTTCTATCCGCTGGAGCTCTACCCCGCCTTCTTTGGTTACTACTTCTTCAACTTCATGATGGTGGTGCTGCAGTCGCTGCACATCTTCTGGGCCTACCTCATCATCCGCATGGCCCAGAAGTTCATAACTGGAAAGGTGAGAGAGGAGCATCGTGGGGAAGGAGCCACTCGGGGTGACCCCCAGATCCTGAATCCTGAGTCCCAACTGCTCACCAGATCCTGGGCAGCCCTCAGTGGGGAGAAACCGCTGTGGTTGCAATGGGGAAACTGAGGCACGGCAGGAAAATGTTGGGCTGGTGCCTGAACCCCCTTTTCCCTCTGCCCACAGGTGGTGGAGGACGAGCGGAGCGACCGTGAGGAGACGGACAACTCTGAGGAGGAGGAGGAGGTGGCCAAGAACGGGCCCCTCTCCAACGGCCACCCTGTCCTCAACAACAACCACCGCAAAACCGACTGAGCGCCCCGGACCCGAGAGCTGCCACCTCCTGCTGCCGGCCCGGCCCCTCCGGCCGCTCCACACGGGACCCGGAGCGCCTGCCGGGCCCCTCCCCTCGGAGCGGGGCCGCAGCTCTGCCTCACACTCACCGCTGGTGCCCTTCCACCTCTCACCTGCTGCCTTAATCCACCGCGGCTCCCCGGGACAGGCGGGGAGCGCACCGGGACCGGCTCCATCCCCCCGGCCGGCTCCTTCCCGGGACCGGCTCCTTCCCGGGATCGGCTCCATCCCCCCGGGCCGGCTCCATCCCCCCGGGCCGGCTTCTTCCCGGGATCCCAAGCATTCCTTCACCGGGGGGAGGGGAAAATCCCCCTTTTCCTGAGCTGTGTCCGGCTGGAAAAGCCGGCTGAGCCCCTGCTCCCCGAACTGGGAGGGAGGAGCAGGGAATTCCTGGGTGTTCCGTGCCTGAATGATGGGATGACACTGTGGAAGTACTTGGGGGAAGGAACTGCGGGGCTGAGTCACTCCTTGTGTCTCACAGAGTTTAATCCTCTCTCATTTCTCTTCGGTAAATGGATTTTGAGTCTCTCCCTCTCCGTGGCCTCTCCCAGCTGTAACAGGACAAATTTCCAACTTGATTTTTTTCCTTTTTTTTTTGGTTTTTTTTCCTCCTTTTCTTTCTATTTATTTGGAAGACAGAAGGAGCCGGGCTTGGCTCTGTCTCCTGCATCCTTTGGGATGCTGTGAGACCTCCCAGCACGGAGGGGTGGGGGGAAAAGGACCATTAACCAATGTCAGACCAAAACGTGTTTTGTTATTCTTGGTTTTTTGGTTGGGTTTTTTTTTTTTTAATAAAGAAAAGGTTAAATATATTAAAAGTTTAAAAAACTAATAAACTTGGGTAAAAAAATTCAAGATTTGGGCATGTTCTGTGAGTGGCACAGTGGCCCTGGGGTGGGAAGTTATTTTGGCATAGATCCCTTAGGCAGTGCTAAAAATGGGCAGAGTTGAGGATTTTGATGGTTTTTATGTATTTCTTTTTCTCCTTCAAGTTCTCCAAGTCTTCAAGGCCAGGCTGGAGCGTGGGTTTGGGTTCCCTGAGGAGCTGCAGCCCCGCTGGGATGACAAAGCCTCCATTGAGGTGGACACTCAGGATGGAACTGGAGCTCCAGGAGGCCCCAGAAAGGTTTTATTTTACAAAGGGAAAAAAAAAAAAGGTTATTTAGCAGGAAAAAACCCAACAAGCCTCCCTTGTGCAGGGCTGCTTTGAGTGGGCTGGTGCTGGGTATGGGGGCTGGGATGGCTGGAATTGACTCCAGCACCTCCCAGCTTGGGCTTTTCCACGTCAAGAATGTGAGATTTGATCCCAGTTTGTCAAACCTCACCTCTTTCATCCAGTTCTCAGGGTGGATTTTAAACCCTTTGGATCTGTTCTGGTGCCTTCCCTCCTTCCTCCCCCCAAACAAAAAAGAAACCCAAGCCCCACGCCTGGGCCTGGGGCCGGGTACCCAGAGCCAGCCTGGGGCTCTCTGTGACATTCTGGGGAGAGGCACCAGATCTGCTTCCCCAACAAAATCCCAACCCCTTCCTCTGTCATTTTCCCCAGTGGAAGGGTTTAAGGAGTGTTTGTTTTGAGGAAAGGTGAAGGAAAGGTGAAAATGTGGGAGCTCCTTATTCCTTTGCCTGGGCCCATCCACGTCTGGCATTTTTCCTGCAAACCCCAGGGAAACAAAGGTGATGGCAGCAGTTCAACTCTGCTTTTCCAGGGCTCTTTGCTGTGTCTCGAGATCAGGGTAGGTTGTTTTTAATAGAAAAACACACTTTTATTGCTTTTTAGCAACTGAAAGATTCTTTACAGCTCACAGGTGAAGACAGATATTTAACTTTTTGTCTTTTTTTTTGCCTGAATTCTATAAATCCTGATTGGTCCAGTCTTCCAGGGATTCTTTCCACCATCCTCCCTCCCACTTCCAAGACCTCAATCCCAACTGGGAAGCCCTTCCCAGGAACACTGGGGAAGTGCTTGCTGCTGGATAAAGGAGGTTTGTGCCTTAAATTTGGTGGAAAGATGGAAGAGAGCAGGAAAAGCTCATTCCTTGAGGGAGGGATATCCTGTGGGATAACTGGAGCCTCTGGAAGGTGGGAATCACCCCCCAGCACAGCCCAGGCCCCTCCCTGCTCCGTGTCCATCTGTGATTTTCCAGCTGAACGGGAGAACTGAGAACCTCTGGAGAAGAAACTTCACCCTCACTGAGGGAAAGTGAGCAGCAGGCCTGTGGAGAGGTGGGAGCTGCTGGCAGGGAGCAGGGGGGCTCAGAGCAGCCGGCCCCGGCAGTCGATGGCCCCGCAGCAGCACAGCAGCTCCTTGCCCTCCACGCTGCCAACCTCGTAGTTGTAATCCCAGGTCAGCTCTGTGCCAGCTCTGATCCGCCTGGGAAGGACAAAAACCACACAGGATGGGTGAGGAGGCTGCTCCAGAAAAGAGGAGAAACTGGATGGGAGAAGGGAGCCACACTTCCATGTCAAGGGGATAAAACTCCCTGAGGAATCATTCCTGTGAGGATTCACTGGAGGAGCAGAGAGGCACACGGCAGGGATTCACCAGAACTCAAAGATTTGGGAGTAAAACAAGAAGGGAAATTGGCTGCTCCATGCCTCACTCAGCCCTTTGGGAAGGTCTAAAACTGGTGGGAATCACACCAGAATCTCCAGCACAAGAGAGAGGATCTCACCTGCCACCGAGGTTTTCTCTGCACAGGAACGATGGGAAACAGGGAATGGGGTTTCCAGCAGCAGGGAACACCCAGCCCTGGCCATGGAGCCAGCTCCCAGCAAAACCCAGGAATCCCAGCCCCTCCCAGCACTCCAGGACTCACTTGCTGGCAAAGAAGGCGACCCAGGGGAAGCGAAGGTCGTGGGTGTCCACGAAGACGTTCTGCACAAAGAGGTTTGGGGTGCAGCTGTGCTGTAATGGCAACAGAGAAGAGCCTGAGCTGCTGCCCGGGCAGGGAGGCCGAGCTGCCAGCGCTGAACAGAGCCTTTATAAACAAGCAGCATTCCTGCTTTGCCTGCCACATCCAGAGGAATCCTGCTGGAACAGGCTGCACGCCCGGGCTGAGTCATAAGATCCACACTCAAAGGTAACGGGCTCTGGAAGGACTGACGGGGCCGTTCCTGCTCCCACCAGGCTGGAGCAGCTGTTTTTTCACTCAGGAAGGTGCATCATCCTCCCAAACCTGCTCTTTCCCCACTTCTCCCTCCGCTCCAGGATGAGGCTGAGGCAGCCAGGGAGAGAGGGATAAAATTCTCTGATGAATTATTGCTGTGAGGATTCACTGGAGGAGCAGAGAGGCACACGGCAGGGATTCACCAGAACTCAAAGATTTGGGAGTAAAACAAGAAGGGAAACTGGCTGCTCCATGCCTCACTCTGCCCTTTGGAAGGTCTAAAACTGGTGGAAATCACAGCAGGACTGGGGAGGAAGAGCCCCACTGAGCAGACAGCTCAGCCCATGCTGCAGTTCATTTGTGGGGACTCCCTGGGGGTCCCCTAAACTGCAAGTTCATTGGTAGCAGCAGGCAGGCAAGGAGACCCCTCTAATTAGAGGGGTGCTAATTAGATGAGGGTTTTTTGGGGATTCCAACCCCAGGAGCAGCATGGTTTCTGAGGGAGAAGGGGGGAAGGAGGAGGCAGAGCCTGGAGAGAAAAGGGGCCAAGAGAGCACTCAGCTTAACAGGAAGATTCAAACTGGGAACAAAACTTGGCCCGATGTGATTACAGCCACAGCCCCTTCAGGGGAGGATCACTTGCAATAAACATTTCCCAGGGGTGAAACAGATCACGCCGTGGAGCTAAAATGTAACAGCAGGGGCTGACTCACGTTGAGGTAGCGGCCCAGGTTGCCCTCGAGCTTGGCGTCGATGATGTAGCAGTTCTCCTCCCCGTCGTAGAACTGCCGCGTGCTGCGGCGCACGGGCCCCGCGCTCTCGCCCTTGTCGGCCGCCGCCAGCGGCGTGGATTTGATGGCGATGCCGTGGGTGGATTTCAGGGCGAAGCCTCGGGTGGATTTCACAGCCACCTGTCTCTTCACGGGGCCTGCGGGGAGGTGGGTTCATCCAGCAGGGCCGTCCCTGCTGCTGCTCCACTCAGAAGTGACAAACCCTTCCGAGCCCAACACCACTCCAGGATCAACCCAGCCCAGGCTGCAACCCACCACAAGCCTCACTGTTGCTTTTTCTTAAAACACCCAAAAATATCTGCTTTTGAGGAGCAGATTTTGGAATTTTGTCTTGCCAAATGCAAGGGGAAGGTTCCAAGCTCAGCTGTGGGACACGGCCTCACGAGCCCTTCCTGGTGCTTTCCAACCAAAACTTCCCACCCTCAGCCCTGATCTCGCCCCTCACCTGACCCAGATGATGAATTTTTTTTGTCCTCCTCTTCCTCAGATCCTGAGGAAATGGTCTGGATGTCGTCGCTGTCGTTGGCTGTGCCCGGGGCCTGTCCTGCCCTGTGCTCCTCGTCGCTGTCGGTGCTGCTCGACACCATCAGCACATTCTGGGGACAGGAACAGCTCCTGGAGTGCATCCCAGCCTCCCTTTTCCCCAGGAATATGGTGCTCTCCTCCAGCTCACCCCCTCTGTTCCTACCCTTTGGGAAGAGATCCCCCCCTCTGGGCACCACGGCCCACAGGTCAGTGTTTGGAACACCTGTGGCATTTTGGGGGGCAGCTGAGTTCTGCTTGAGATCCTGCAGCATGAGGTGCTCAAAAGGAAGGGAGAAGTCCCCAAAAAACAAGGACAGTTCACCAGGATGGCTTCCTGCAGATGGTTCTGGCAAACAATGAGTCCCAGGTGTGCAAACCAAGGTGCCAAATCCCACCCAAAATCCTACACTCTCCTCTTTTTTTTGATTGTTCAGATCCACAAAAGACGCCCCAAAATCCAAAGGCGATTGACTGCCCTCCAGGAAATCACAGCTCAACTGGGAACCAAAGGCTGAAAATGACCCAAAAGAAGGTTGAAGAAGGGGTTTGGGGGTGGCCCCTCCAGGCTGGGGGTCCCTCTCACCTCCGAGGTGGGCGCTGGGGCCAGGGATCGCCGGCGGCTCTGCAGCAGCACGGTCCCGCTCAGCGGCCTCCGGATCCCCTCCAGCCTGGGAGGGCAGGGGTTGTAGCCATACCTCCTTCCCAGGCTGCTCAGCCTGCAGGGACACAAGCAGCTCACACCTGGATCTCCAGGGAAAACTGTCCACAGGCCAGGTGGGAAAAATGATTTAAGGAATCTTACCCGGGAATTTTGGTTGATTCTTCA